CCCCCAGTGCAAACTCCCGGGCCTTCAGCTCTCACTTCTCGGTCTGTGGCCACTGGGCCCAGGCAATGGCTTCCGTCCCCAGAGCAGCTCCTGCTGGTGACAGTGGTTTCCTCCTGCCAGTTGGCCAGCCCACCCCCTTCCCCCGCAGAGCCTGGCGAGCTACTGTTCAGGGGAGTCAGGGCCCTCTTCAGTGCCATGGCTGCCAGGAAGAGTTTGCAGCTCACAGTGTTGGCCCTGAGGTTGAAGTAGCTCCTAGCTTCCCAGGTTGCCCTCTGCACCCAATGCTGAGGGCTGAGCCACCAAGGGCCCTTGCTGACCTGGTTGGACTTTGACCTCGGAGAGTGCAGACAAACACGCCTTCTTTCGCTCATCACCTTTAGGGTAGGGCCTGAGGAATGAGAGAGCACTGCTATCTCCCTGGGGGTCCTCCCCCTACAGGGCAGTCCTCATCTGGGCATAGGGGAGGGACATGACTATGCTGACAGCTTTGGGTTCAGATCCCAGCTCGGTGAGGACCCTTTAAAGTGTGCATGGGAAAAATCATCTCATCTTTAAATGGCCTTCTCAAAGGCCCCTCAGAGTCTGCGTGCGGTGGGCCCTAGGCCGGCTATGGAGACCCCTGGAGATGGAGAGGGGTGGGGTGCAACCAGGTGCCCCTCCCTTCCTGGTGGCCTAGTTAGTGATTCATGTGCCCACCCTCAGTGAGCTTCAGGGTGCCAGGGTCACCCTCTCTACTCAGTGTTCTACTGAGGGGTAGCCTTGGAGATGTGGGTCGGACAAGCGGGGCCCTAGACAGAGAAGCCAGGTGGGTTGCTCCCTTAGCTGCTCCAGGATCCTGTTGAGTAGGGGGCATGGAGTGGGAGGTCACAGGGTGATCTTTTCCTGTGCTACCGAGAGCCTTCACAAGGTGGGAGTGCGGACAAAGTGAGGCCACACTGTCACAGGACCAGAACTGCCCGGCAGGCCGGTCCAGATACAGACGCTCTCCGCCCTGTCACCTACTTGATGATGGCGGATACGTTGGTGATCTTGTTGAAGAAGTCAAACTCCCGCTGGTAGAAGTCCTTGGCTGGGCCTGACAAGGAGCCTGTGATTTCTTCCACCAGCTGCTCCAACAAGTCCCCGATG